ATGTAGAAAATGTTTTAGATCTTTGAGTTCATCTCATGAAAAATGGGAGCAAAAACAAAAGTGTTGCATTTATATTTTTGTTCAGTGTAGTTGCTGATCGACAGCTGGTACACAAACCACCAAATACAAAAACATAATTCAGATCCAGTCGTCATGACTCCACTCCGAAGGGATTCCCCGCTCATTTCTTAGTTTCTCATCAAGGGGGTGTCTCCTGTCCCCGGTACAAACACACTGCCTGAGGAAGGCTATGTGTATTTTTTTTGTCATTAACCTTTTTCGGACCACTTATTTATTTATTTTGGTGACGATCCGACCTCCATGCTGCGACTCTGGTTCAAACTGCACCCACCAAACAATATGATTTATCTCGACCTCCCCAAAATAACCAAAATCTGACACGGTGTGAGATGTCTTTTTTAGCTGTTCTGTCGTCATTTCCTGCTATCTTCTTCATGCAGTCAGTCAAAATGAATGAATGAATGGGCGTTTCTTTGACTATTTATAGGCAAATATGGGCGGTACGTGAAGCCCGCAAAAGCTGCACCGCATTTCGAGTCGATTGTGATTTATAAATGGAAACCAGCGTAGGAAGTGCCGTACGCACTTCCCTCGACGGTACGCAATGTTTTGTGAATCTGAAAATGGCGGAACATTTCTGTACCTATTTTTTTGCTTTGTACTAAGCAACCTTCCCACGTGAATCCTACGGAAGACGTTATAAATGAGGCCTCTGGTTATGGTTCAGCTTAGTCTGATCTGTTTCAAACATGACCATCTTTTAAACTTGAATACCCAACATGCACCACCCTGCAGGCTCCTTCCTGTTCTCGGATGTGATCGCTGCGGAGGCGGTGGAGCACCCGCTCAGTGAGTGTCAGTGGTTCCACGGCACGCTGTCCCGCCTCAAAGCGGCTCAGCTGGTGTTGGCGGGAGGACCGGCGAGCCACGGTGTGTTCCTGGTGCGACAGAGCGAGACGCGTCGCGGAGAGTACGTCCTCACCTTTAACTTCCAGGGCAAGGCCAAGGTGAGTTTCATTTTGAGCACTGACTTCATAATAAGACTATTATTCATACAAAATGAATCATGTTACTACATTTAACTCTCTGATGCTACTGCGTCTTCTCTATTAATATATCTCTTTGTTTTTCTTTTGTCTTTTCCATCATTGCAAATAGCTCTCAAATATGAAATCAAGTTTAAATATATTAATTAATAAATGTAAAGAAAATGTAAAATGTCCACCAATTTTTTCAGACCCTGTCTTAAGAAATCTTTTGTTTGACCAACACTACCATATTCAATTTACAGTAATATAAAAAAGCAACACAAATTCACGTTGCAGAATCTGATCTGCACAATTTAATTTCTTCCAATTTTTAATATAGTTAACAAAAATGTATTGGTAAACCTTGAGTTTGACTTGCTGTGCCCTCTCCAGCACCTGCGTCTGTCCCTGAACGAGGACGGTCAGTGCCGTGTGCAGCACCTCTGGTTCCAGTCCATCTTCGACATGTTGGAGCACTTCCGTGTGCACCCCATCCCCCTGGAGTCCGGCGGAGCCTCCGACGTCACACTCATCAGCTTTGTAGGGGCCACCGCTGTTCGCCAGCCAGGTACCGTCCCCACGACCCTGCCCCTTCATTTATCGATTCATGGAATAAAACGTATTCTACAAGAATAATAAACACAAACAAGGAATTGAGCTCGCACAAATATAGCTGAAATAATAATTGAACTCATTAAACTATATTTCTAGTCATTTTAAATTCTGATATGTTGTATGTGTAGTCAAATCGGGCTTTACTCAGGTCTAGGGATGGGTATATTAATATATATATATTAGGGCCGGGACTCGATTAAAAAAAATAATCTAATTAACTACAGTCGTTGTAATTAATTAATCGCAATTAATCGCATTTTTAATCACA